GATGGGGGGGCCCGCCGCATACCGGTCTGATGGTACACCAACGGGCCCCCACATCTCTGCCCTAGGGCTGTGTTTGAATAGATACTGGGCCCCCCGTAGGCTCAGGCCCCGGTGCGGTGTTGGGGTAGTTCCACCACTAGGCTGGAGGCAGGATGGTTTCAGCAGTGCACTTTAAGAAAAAAAATGGTGTCATCTGTCTAGCTGTATAAGGTGGCAGAGCTTTGTAAACTCAAGAATGCATGGATAGAAATAGAGATGTTTTGACAGATAAAAGTGTCCCCCTATTGTATTATGGTAATGCATATAGTATATATGTTTTTAACCCTGTATTTAGATGTTTGCCTGGAGCTCAGCATTAAGTTGTCATTGCACAAAAAGTAAATAGAAATCTGTAACCTGCTTTAGTGTGAATCCCAACAACAAAGCAGTGATTTAATAGTGGCATGACCAGTATCATTGGAATTGTGTTAGGAACACTGTACACAGCTATTGACCTACGGATGAATAACAGGCCAAATTGAGATGTCCCAGTTCACTTAATTGGCTGTAATGTATCAGGCATGCCCATCTTAGGGATGTTTTTTTACTCTACAGTGCTAGGAAAACATGTGTTCCCATCTCTTGTAGAATAACCATGAACAATAAATTATGGTAGAACAGCAGAACACAGGGAAGGAGGGTGAGGAACAATCAGATGAGTGCAAACTGAATGCTTTCTGTGTTACCACAGACTATGCTGGCCTGTAGCAACTTGTGGATCTTTGGCTCCTTAGAGAACAAGGTTTTAGCCGAGAAGGTTCCTGTGTAAACTTCTCTCTCAGCCATTTACCTCTTCTCTCTAAGTGTGGGGACAGCTGCAGATGCTCCCTCAAATCCGAAGTACTCTTTTTTACTTGGATAATATCTTGCAGTACCCCTTACAAGAGGGGGAACCTTCTCCAGTACACCAACCCCATGGGCAAGAGTTTAGGGAAGCAAAAAGTCTCTGGAAATATGTCTCAAATATTAATCACCTTTTCACCTAATACCATTAGGACAAGCCCTCTAGTGATTGGCTGGGCAGACAAATATTCTAAATCAGAAGCTAAAGTGCAACTAATGGCAAAACTTTTTATTTAGTTTTGGATGCACTAAAGAAGGATTAAAACACTTGTCATTTCATTTATTCGTTTCTTTTTTGCTGTCTGCGTCTCAGTTAGGGAGATTTGCTCTATCTATGAGTCATGGTGACCGTTATCACTGAAAGTGAAAGAAAATCCCAGATTTTGGGTTGTCACCATAACAGTAATAGATGGAAAATCTTGCGATGGGGACACTAGTTCTGGTGACCCTCCTAACCACCAGGGATTTTCCTCTCTTGGGAAGAATTGGCTTTCACTTCCTGTTGTGGCTATCAATCAGGAATAAATAAAGGGAAATCTCCCCAATGGATCACAGATGGCAGAAAGCTGACAGGAGTTATAACCTTCCCTTACTCTATCCAAAACTATAAAAAAAAGTTTGGCCATTCAGTTCTACTTTACCTCTTCTGACTCAGTGCTGGAGGATGTTCAACTGCAGCTGATAAAGCAGTGACAACTTGAGCTTCTTTGAGCACTCATAAGGCAAGAAACGTTAGACTGACTGCAGTCTAACTGCTCACTGCAGATCATAACAATATAAAAGCACTATCTGTAAATTTATTATTAATCATGAAGGGTAAAATGCACAGTATTGAATCTCAAAGCCTGGGGTTGTCTCTGGAAATCAATACAATAATCAGCCATGAGAAATTCAACACCCTGCTGAGTCCTTTCTAAGGCAGGCATCCCATTCTTACCTCACTTTAAAGTATACAGATGTACATTTGTCTTTGTTCTGTAAATACCAATATTATTTTGGATGTGAGCGTAGATAACACACAGACATGATCTGACTGAATAGTTTATTAAGGGGCATCAGAAATTGCTTTCCTGATTATGTGGTCTGTTGTTGTATTCTTGACAGCCATGACTGCCTTTGCTGGTACAATATTGTAAGGATTGCAGTGCTGGTGTAAATTGTCTTTATTGCAAAATGCGGTGAATCAGGCACCTCAGAGAAACTTCAGCGGAGCAAGACACCAGCCCATTTATCAAGGCCCAGGATCAGCCACCTCGTTATAATACAGACTACGCCGTTCACTTTGCGAACATCTTAGTTGATTGATGACCTAGTGACTAAAAGTTGCTCACCCAGATTGTCAGGGAAAAGATTTATTTGAAAATCTAACAAGACTTTAATTTGGTTTTTAGCTGTTTTTTTTCCCCAACCACCCTTGATAGTTCCACTTCCCCAAATTATATATACATTTTCACACTATCAGAAGATCTGCACGCAACATCATTGGCAAATATGACGGTATTCAGTGGCATGGGCAGGTGCTATAAATCAGTGTGGAGTTAATTTCATTTCTGCTCCCTCTTTCTGCTGTCAGAGGTGTCTGAAGTAAAATTGCATTAGTGTCTCTTTTTCATTCCTGGCATCAAATCACATCTCTACATAACAACTTGCTAAACATATTAAATTGGTTAACTGCACTTGTGAAGATAATTATGCTGAAATCGAAAACATGGAATTTCAAAGTATGGGTTAGATTGATTTTAATTGTTCATCCAAGTATAATAATGGCTTTATAATGAGTGGGGACTGGCGTGATAACATCGTGGAGGGAGAGCAACAGAGCAGTGCCACCAGGAGGTCATACTAACCTGAAATAGTATATTGCAAGAAATTGCTGAGCAGTAATATCTGAATGAAACTAATTACTGACAAAAGACAAAAAACAAACAAACCCCAAACACGCATTGCTTTTAGATATATTTAAAGTAGAACTGTAGAACTATGGCCTTCTATTAAAAAAATATGTGCCACAGGACTTAATTTTAAGTGTATCTGCATTTACAGTTTTAGTAGAAGCAGTCATAGTTCCCCGCAAACTCTTACAAATACTTGTTGACTCTGCCACTGAAGTCCACCTAATGCAGATTATTGTAATGGTGTGGCAACAATGCTGCACTGCTCCTGAAATCAGAGCAGAGTTGCCACTCAAGTAGGTGGTGCCTACTTTCACTGCAGTGGGATGCTGCAGGGGGACATAGCTTTTAGCCTTTGGTTTGTCAGTCAGTACCTGACTGTACCCAGCCATGCCCACTGCTTTCTGGATGGACAGCACTGCCTCTGTTCCTGACTACCTCCCACTTTGGGCTGCAGTGTCTGGAAGGGGAGGATGGGAGACACAAATGAAGAAGGGTTTGGCTCCGTCAGGGAAGTTAAAGGGAATTTTTTGTTTACATTATGAGGTTTGTGTATCAGACACTAAGTGGATTTGTGACTTGATTAGATTGTCATTCAGAAAAAGGTTACCAGATTTTCAAAAGGAAATCCAGGGGCCACCTTACTAACCATGCATACTTTTAGCCACACCCACAAAGTCATGTCCTCATTTGTAGCCACACCCACAAAATCTTTAAAAATCAATATGGTTGGGCATGGTGTAGGAAAGCCACCTTGAGAGTCGATTGCTGATCATGTGCAACTGGATTCCGCAGCACCATATTGGGGTGACGCCTGTGATTCTCCCTGGAACCATCCATAACATGGCCACCCGGCAACACAAGTTAGTGGAGGACTCAGGGTGTTGTAGCATACAGTGCTCTTGCAAATGGTCAGTGTGGCCAATTTACACTAACAGCGGGACTTACAGTAACTGTGGAACGTAATTATTATTATTATACAGGATTTATATAGCGCCAACAGTTTGCGCAGCGCTTTACAATATAGGGCAGACATTTCAATCACAATACAATTCAAGACAAGATGGTAAGGAGGGCCCTACCCCTGAGGGCTTACAATCTAAAAGGGAGGGGGAAGTGATACATGAGGAGGGAGCTGCGTGGGGATGAATTGTTTGAGAACGTGATGGTCGAGCGGTTAGGTTGAGGTGGGATAGGCTTCCCTGAAGAGATGGGTCTTTAGGATAAAGGATTTTGGATAAATAAACCCTGATCCTAATCTGCTCTAGGTCAAGGATGTGTAACACAAGGAGTGCAGGGGTCAGGAGTATGTAGCGTACTAAGTACAAGGGTCAAGAGTATGTAACACACAGAGTGCAGGGGTCTACAGTAGAATGTGTAACGCATAGAGTTCAGGATTAGAAAGTGTATAAAATTGTTCAGTGTTCTGGCAGGTTCAATCACCCAATAGACCCTTGTACTTCTTGGAGCCTTAATGCCTAATGTGATCTGCCAATGCTCATGAGTTTCCTGCACCACCAACCAACTACAACTATAACTCCTATAATTTTTTTACATAATAAATTTAACACCTCTGGTAGTTGGCAGATCCCAGGACTATGGCCAGGTGTCTTGGAGTCCCCAAGACATATAAGAAGCCATGATTCAATAAGAAAGTTTAATTTAACCAACCAGCAACAATCCATAACTAAAGAAGCAGCTAGGCTCAGCTTTTAGATGTTAAATGAAAATAATAGCTTGGTATATTATATTTGTATCAAGAAATACATGCAAGGCGCATCATAAAGGTTGGCGATGCTGCTTTCATGACATCAAAGGCAAGTAATTTTTCAGCAGTCACGCTGCCTTTCTACAAGAAAGTACATGTAGCCATCACCGCATCAGGAGCTAAGTGACACATATCGCCAAAGCAGACATATTAATATCTTTGTCTGGGGGTGTTTCAGCTCTTGTGTTATATGCTTCAGAGTGTATCAGTTAAGAAGCAAGCTGACAAAAATTTGATTAAAACTTGATTAATACGCTTCTTGCACTTAACATGACACTGAAAGAATGATAAGAGGAATTACAGGAGTTTAAGGTGTGTAAAAGGTTCGGTTTGTGAAAGATTGATTGGACGATGAGAACATCACAAGGAGGAAAACGTTGTGTGTAATCGTTTACAATGATGGACAGTGGATAAGCCCTTGTCCTTCTAATCATTATATGTTCCGTTTTTTCTTCCAGATTTGATCCCAGGAACAGAATATGGAATAGGAATATCTGCTATTCGAGATAATCTCTACAGCGCCCCAGCAACAATGAACGCACGTACTGGTGAGTTATAGCCGTACATGATGAGTGGCTATATGTCTTATTCAGTCTGTTGATTCCACATCATGCCTTTTTGCAGTATTAAAGGTACATTTTGATAAAACTTGAAAATGCACCATGGAAATAAATACAGGGGACACAATCTAGCAGCCTGTGGCTTTTCCTTTTCCGACATGCTTTAGTCGGCCAGCATTTCTTAACCTTTTTTCAGTTATGGTACCTAAAAATAATAAAAAATCTAAAGGCACCCCAGTCTAAAATGTAAAAAGCGACATGTTATCTTAGGCAGGGGACTGATATGGCTTTTAAGGGGGGGATCCCATTAAAAAAAAAAGTTGTGGATTTTCCCCCTTTACATCCCCACTTTTACATTAGAAGCCCTGATTTACAAAAGAAGCCCATTTCACAATCAGAAGCCTCCCATTTACATCAGAAGCCCCCATATGCACCAGATTCCCCACTTTCACATCAGAAGCCCCCCTTCACATCAGGAACCCCTTCACATCAGAGCCCCCCTACCTCCCCTTAAACAAAGAAGGCACTCTTATAAAAAGTTGTTAGGAAGGCCTTGGGCAGGGCAAACCCTTTAATGAGGAAGCCTGAAGCTGTTGCTACAGAACATCCCAGGTTGCTAAGAGCCAGGCGGGGAGATGTGTATGGGCCATACACATCTCCCCGCTTAGCTTTTAGCAACCTGGGACACTCTGGACAGCATCCTGCCCAGCTCCTGGCAACCAGTGAGGTCCAGTGGGCAGGACGTCGAGTTGGCCATGGAGTGCAGCGTCACTCAACCACCAGCAGCATCCCCCTTCCCCCTCCTGGTCGTCTCAGGTGGCAAAAAGGCAAGGGACGAAGCTGCCCTTGGGAACATTTAATTCCGAGCATCTGATTATCAAGGCCACCAATCAAAGTCTCTCTGAAATTTGAACTCTGGGATAAACAAATATTGTCTGATTACAAGGGGTTGATTTACTAACCTTATAAACACACCACGAACATGTATACACCTCTGTAGTGTGTTCCCTCCCAGCATGATCTATGGGTGGAATCTAAACACCTTTGTAGTGTGTACACACCCAGCAGGTGTGTTGTGCAAAGCCAAGCATGAATTTCAAGGTGATGTTGTGTAAATTAGCTCTATGTTGTGTTGTTTGCGTTGATGAACGCAGGAATGTAAATGCATGAGCTAACCATTTTTGTCTAAACTGTGAAGCAGCATTATATATGCATCATGTGCATGATTTTTCCATACATGGCATTAGTGGAAATATGCTTTTAGAGACTTTTTGGTTGATAAATAATGCAGGAGCTTCCCTTAATAAAGACTTGTCACTTCTGATCTTTCTTCTTGTACAGGGTGACTGGTCTTGAATGCCCCCTCCTTTAGTTTTCTGCATGCAACCTGAAGTGGGTGGGGCCTTCTGGGTCCCTCCCACATGTCTTCTCTTTGTACAGGCTATGTGCAGCAAGGTAGTATCTAGGTTTGAAAAGGTCTGGTGCACACAAAGTGGATTTATATACTTTGTGGCTATTGAGAAATATAGTAAAAGGAATTTTTGTTGTGCCTGGAGTTCAGCTTGAAGTTTTGTTATGCAGATCAATGATCATTCAGAAAAAAAATGGATTCATGCACCTTCTGCACTCACACTGAAGTCCACATTTTGGATGGGTCAGCTAAAATTAGCCAGAGCTACGTGGGGGGGGGGCAGGGACTGAAGCCTTTGTTCTCACATTCATTGAGCTGCATGAGCCATTAACACTGGCCGTGGCTAATTCATATGCTAATTACGGGATTTGCATTATAATGAGCCGCGGTATTCATATGCAAATCCCACCATGTCTCATTAATATGCAAATCGCCCTTCCCACTCCAAGGCCACTGTCACCCTCTCTGTGCACCCACTCACACTCTCACCCTCTGTGCACCCACCCACACTGCCACCCACTCTGTGCACCCACCCACACTGCCACTCACCCGCATTGCCCACCCACTCTGTGTACTCACCCACTCCGCCACCCACACTGCTCATACTGTGCACCTACACCACCCACTTTGTAACCCCACTTTTCCCAGCTTCACTGGTGTAACTGTTTTTTTAGTTGTATTTACACTGCCAAGCCAAAGAAATGAGGGAAAGTGTGTTATATTGCACTGTGTAATCCTTCTGTGGTGTGGCAGTGTAATTATAACTTAAAATAACACTGCCACACCAGTGAAGTCGGGGAAAGTGGGGTTACAAATGATGAACCCCTGTGGTATTTTAAGTTATAATTTGAATACCCCTTGTGTAATTGTAAATCCCATTTTCCCAGCTTTATTGGTGGCACTGTTAAAGAATTAGTCCTCGTTACACATGACGTTCTGGCATTCCTGCAGCAGAAACATACAGATTCTTGTGACAGGAATGTCAGGTGCTCCACTTAGATGTGGCTGCTGTACCCACTGAAGTTAATGACCAGGTGATAGCGGCCATATCTGTAAGCGGCAGTCCGCACGTAATGTGCGTGATATGATTAAATGTAGTTTTGAATAGATCACTGTCTCTGGATGTACGTATCCTGCATTCAGGGACAGTGATCTATTGCAAACTGCATTTAATCATATTGTAGAATAATAATATATGCTGTAGTTCAGGCACCAGCGGGGGGTTGGAGGGGGGGCTCTACAAATCTTTGCTATGGGCCCTGTGATTTCTAGTTACGCCCCTGCCCCTAAGTGTATGGACAACTTAACTAACAATGCAAAAACTGTTTCAGAGGGGCACACCAATAGCCAGTAAAGATAACAGAAGGTACCGTCTCTTTAACAGGACTTTTCCTTATTTAGTTTATGTTGCAGTAATGGGGTGTTTTTTTGTTTTTTATTTACATTTTGCTTTTTTCACATTCCTTTGGAGAATTAATATTTAATCAATTTTAACTGTGACAGAAATGCATATTATTCCAACAAAGTCAGCTACTTAACAAGATATTATAACTTGCATTACTTGTAAAGCACACTTACTCATTTTATATCAAATATATTTACTTGCACAAAAATCCAAGGTCACTGAAGAATGAAAGTGGGGCACATTGTTTAAATCCAGCAAAGTCTGGCTGGGCTCATCCAGTATTGTAGTATTTCCTACCTCTAGTCATATGTGTAATCAGCCGCAGTGAGTAAATCTGGCCCTGAGTACAATGACACATTATTTCATCTATTGAATTAATTTCTATCGTACCTTTATAAATGGCACCAGTTGGGTGTAAATACATTGTTCCCATTTTCAAAGCTAAAGGTCTTTATGAAAAAGGCTGCGAACAAGTGGATTGTATGCAGAGTTGTCACGGTTTACGTGTTTATGATCCAGCTGAAGGCTCATTAAACACTCGCATACTTTTAGTCCATCTAGCTCTGTGACATCCACACAATTCTCACAGCAGATACAATCAGATTTTCTGATTGTATGAAGTGTCATTTGAATTTTCAAAGCGTTGGGCCCCAGTGAAATCTCTGCTGAGCTACCGAGTGCCAGTGATTGAACTGCATTTTCTAAATAATTTAGATATTTACTTGTAGCTTACAATTGTTTTCATCCTTTTGCAACATGACAGACAGTCTAGTGCTGCGAGCATCACAACAGCTTTCCCTCAATTCACAGAGGGGCTAATTTACAAGCATTCACTTATGTGCAGCATTTACAGTCAAGCACAGCAGCCAAGTACTGTATCTCCTTGACCTTTCTTTAATGGGAAAGAGTTATGACGGATAGCAGTCTCCAACAACCAATCAGATTTCACATACTATTCTATTAGATAAGTAAGAACGATTAAAATAAAATGTTACATTGGCTCCTGTGGGTTCCTAAACATCGTTCTTTGACTTGCTACTTAAAAGTCATATCTTGGGCATTCAGTGCTAATAACGTGCAGTCCCCCATCGGTAGACTTAGACCTGCATGCATTGAAATTCAATAACAATCTGTAATTACTTTATTGAATTTTCGATGGCTCCATTATTTCTGAAAAATAAGTTGGTAGATTGGTTAAAGCAGATCTAAACCCAAGAGCAAAAATGTAATCAGTTGCAGCTTACCAGTCCTTAGACGTGGTGGCGGAATCAGTTTTATTTTTTCTGGGTATTTTTGTCTTAGTTTTCACCTGGCAATCCTGCTATTAACAGAATTCCTGTCCTAGGGTGACAACACTTACAGTACTCACTGTACTGTATCCATGGTAATACAGTGTTGTCACCATAGGACATGTCTACAAACACCTCCTCCTCTCATTTTCTCCAAAACATAGAGTGGAAGGCTTCTGTAGTTCTCAGAAATAGTTGAGAAGAAAGTAGCCAATAAGAGTACAGCACAGGCAGAGAAAGAGGAAGTTATCAGCTGGCAAGATTTCTGGCAGGTTCCACAGGTTTTTTGCACTTATCAAACCAACACAGCAAAATGCATTCACTGATATATTCCATAGACTAAAAGGGAATAAGGGAAGTAGATTGTTAGGGCTTACATACTCTTAAAGCACTAACAGAAAGCCACATTAATTTTATTAAGTAGGGTCCAGTTCTTAGTAAAACAGGTTGATACATAAAGTCCCTTTTAAACTAATCTACCAGAAGTTGCAGTGCTAGCTGACAAATAAAGTCATAACTGAAATATTGGAGTTTCTCAACCTTTTAAAGGTATGCAAAACTTAAGGCGCCTCAGTTCAAAATGTACAAAACATAAAAAATCATGTAAAAATCGACGTGGGCCAAAACACAAAAAAGGTTCCCCCTTTCTCATCAGAGTCCCCCCTTTATATCAAGAGACTAACATCAGGAGCCACAGCTATGGCAGCATGGCAGATAGTAAAAGGTGGAACAGACCTAGACAGAGATGCACTTCTGTCCTTTTCAAAATGGATCCCACCCTCACCCTTACCCTCTCTGGATTTTGCACAATCCATTTCCATGGTGCTGGTGCCCGGCCTGCATGGTGGAAAGGCATGATGCTGTGTCAAGGCACCCTGGTTGAGATAGGCTGCTCTAGACATTGCAGTCTTTCTCCTATTCCTTTTCTTTGGCACATTTCTATATGTACATAATTCAGACAGACATGTGATGTATAGATGTAATGGTCAGTGCTTTTGGCATTGAATTAAGTGGATATGAAGGGCAATATATCAGTTATTTTCAATCTTAAGGCAGCACATATCCTCTAGGACCATTATAGATAAAAGTTTTCCACGCTATAGAAATAAAGTGCTAAAGTGAAATAAAAATGAAGTAAAAAGCTGTTATGCTCCAAATGCACATACTTGTAGTAAATATATAAAAAATATTCATATAAGTAAAACTATGCAAAATGTATAATCATCCCTTAGAAATTAATATAAATACAGTTGTGTAATGTGCCATTCAATATGTGTGTTGTACCATCAACAAACTCATCAACATGATAAAAAAAATATATATATACTCACAGTTAAAAACTATAAAACTTGCCATCAGTAAATCATAATAGCTGAACAGTGTTCGGCTCACTTCACTTCAGATCGGTCATTCACTCGGCTGCCTATGGCAGCTTAGTGAATAGACCCCATATATGTAAGATCAAAGCGCTCACCTCACAGACTCCCAATGCAAGTAACATCAATAGGGTCCGTCCCTAATGCTTTTCGTCATCCAAAGACGTTTTCAAAGGACAGAAGACCTCCGTGCACTTTTTAATATATTCTCTAAGGCCATTGCTTGGTTTTCACTGGTGATACAATTCATCCAAGTGTCACTTACAATACTTGGGCAATGCAGGGTTTAACATCCAAATGATAACAAGCAATCATGAACTACATATTATGAGGATGATTTACTATAGGTGTTGAGGATCTTTACTCAATTAGTAGTAGCTGTTCTCACTTTGAATACCCAATCATGTTCAACAGAATTGTGCTTTTTACATCATTGGGAATATAAAGGAAATCTTCACTTCACTTCATTGAGAGAAGATTCTCAACTCATTTAGTAAATCAGCCTCTATATATCACAGATATATCAGAAGAATCTTAACGAATGATAGAACATATTTCCTGCTTTCCCCATAGAAAAGGGAATCATTTATTTGTTACATACAAATGTGAACTATAGAGAGAGTCACTGAGGGTCTGGTATTTGCACAATCATAATCTCTGTCCAGGTGAGATATCAATGTCTTCATTTTTTCTTTATTAGAGTTGGACAGCCCAAGTGATCTGATGGTTAATGGATCTACAGACAAGACCATCTCCTTAGTCTGGACCAAAGCTCAGGGCCCTATTGACCACTACCGCATCTCTTTTACACCATCTTCTGGTATGGCCTCTGAAATCACAGTCCCCCCTGAAATCACCCAGTATGATCTCACCGACCTGGAAGCAGGAACAGAATATACCATTACCATAATCGCAGAGAGGGGGAGACAGCAGAGCCGGGAGACCACTGTAGATGCTTTTACAGGTACAGCTATATTTTTTCTGTTTTATAATCTGCTGTCCGGTATTATGATTGCTCCGGCATTTTCTTCTAGCTCTGACACTGAACCTTATTTGGAACAGTAGAATTGGTGTTGTTAATATTATTATTATTATTATTATTCTACCCACTCCCACATACAACCTGGTTAGTGCATCTGAGATTTGTTTTACAACCACCTCAGTGCAAAACAAATTAGGTCATAAATTTTACTTAAAGATCACTGCATATTTGTAGCAATAAAATAAGTAAAGCAAATTATTTATAGACGGCTATTCATTATGCTGAGACAATGACCGGCCTTGCATTGCACTGTATCAATTAATTATCCTCTTTACAAGTGAAAACAATGTTTTAGACTTAAATTGTTACTGGCATTTCTAGACAATATACAAATTTGTATATGCAAATGAAACTAATTCAGCTCTCTTTTTCCTCTCTTCGTTTTGGCACAGTCTAGTTTTTTTTGCATTGCTCTTTAATGCTTTTTCTATACTTGTGTTGCCACAACAAAACCCTGACATGTAAAACAAACCTGTGCTTTGCCTATACAGGAGCATATACTACTCTAGCAGCACATAATCACCTTTCCAACATTCACTTATTACTTCTAGGTATGGAGGAGCATGTTGCTCACTCCATGTGACAGCTTTGGTCACTATGTCGCCCAGAAGAAGGGACCCTGTGTGGCCCCGAAACGTTGGCTGTTTGACGCATGTGACAATTGAATAAAAAGTGCTTTATTTCTTGCACACATCATCGAGTGCTGGTGACTTCTATTATGGATTATTAAGCACTGGGCCAGTTACGGGGCACTAATGCTGTTGGGGAAAGTCTCACACTTTACACAGGGTGACTTTCCCTTCTCCTGGAGGCAGGAGAGCAAAGGCTGATGCTGGGGATAGTATTGGTAATGTGAACCTTTTGCTTTGCCCTATTGGTGTCTTTGTGCCCTCTCATGAGGCCATAATGAAGGTGAAGGACTCGCCAATTATTTTTGTGTTTTACATTTTGAAGCATGTACCAAGAGAGTGTGACACCATCATTTGATTATGTAATGATCACGAAGATACTGGGAACTCTGCTGGAGATATCTCACTACAAGAGTTCTCTGGAGATATAGGCAACTGGCATGTAGTTCATCTTGCCAGCCATTTTATAAAACAGAATTATCAGCTTTGTGGAGGTGGCCTGAGGCCCCTTTCACACGGGCAGTCTAATCGGGTCCGCCTGTCAGTTTTTCAAGCGGATTTGATCAGATGCCCAATGTTAGTCTATGGGCAGCCAGTGTAATGCACAGGAATTTGTTTACACCGAGTTAGTTTAGGGACTAGGGAGGGTGAACTTTTTTGATCGTACGGGCTTTTAATGAGCATACGACCATCGCAAGACAAAAGTCTTGCGATGGTCGTAAGGTGTATGGGCACCTTAAGTGTGTTCAGAATAGATTTGTCTGGCCAAGAGTTCAGTGTCACTTGAACTCTATCCTTAAAATCAGGAAGCATTTTTTTCCTCAATAACAAAGTACATTGAAAGTTTTGTTTCACTTTCTGCTTGAGCAAAACAATTTGTAAAGGACTGACCTTAGCCCTCGTTCACACCTGACCGTTTTGTAGCGCGTTTTACGCTCGACGAACGCTCTACAAAACGGTCAAAAATATAAATTGCATTGTAGTCAATGGTCTCGTTCCCATCTTGGCGTATTTCCGCCCGTCCCCTCGCTACAAAACGGCCCACGCCTGAAAAGGTCCAGGTACTACTTTGGGCCGTTTTGTTTGCGCGTTTCTATTGGGATACAGCCAAGTAGCCTTCGGAAACGCGCGACGGTCGCGCGACTTTTTTACCGCGACAGACGCGCATATGCAATACGCCTAGGTGTGAACGAGGGCTTAAAAGACCCGTATCGTTTTTTATTATAGCTAACTATGTAACTTTGTAACAGACACGGACCCTATGAAAAACATAATGTAAAAACTGTTGATGCACAGTAAACCTTGGTAGCTGCTCAGCTCAGCAAGCTAATGGAAATTGTATTTTGTTTAGTCATTGTGTACCATTCCTCTCTAGATTGTTATTCAAGAATACATGTAATGTGGTATCAGACAAAATGTTATAAAGCGTGGGGGTGAAGTCATTGATAGCTGAATCATAATTCAAATGAGGGATGTTTTTGTGTATATTCAAAAAAATGTCATGTTTAAAGGGTATCTATGGTCAAAAAATAAATCTGTATTTCTATATTGAATTTCCATACGTTCTATTCCACTCCAAATAACCATATTGATCTAGAAGTTTGTAAACCTGCATACTGAAGATGCCCATAGGACAGGGGCGTCACAAGGGGGGAGCGGCCCGCACCCGGGTGACACCATTGGAGGGGTGACATCAAAATGACTTACAGTCATTTTGGTGTCACCCCCCTCTTGAAAAGTCGGGCGCTCGGTCATGGACCGAACGCCCGACAGTATCAGGAGAGAGGAGGGGACCCGGTGGCATACCTTATCCCGCCGGGTGACTGTCTCCTCCTCTCTCTGCCGGCGTCCATCACCAAGATGGCCACCGGCAGGTATCGGAATACGGCCGCGCATGCGCAGTGACGTCTCGGCGGGGTGACACTCGGACACCGCTCCGGGTGTCACCCAGCCTCGGGACGCCCCTGCCATAGGATGCACTTCCTCAATGCAATGACACAATTTCGCTCAGCCCTGTGACTATGCACTTACTTCCCTGTGCCACCTCTCTAACTATACCTGCCATCTAAACCACAACTCAGCGTCTGAACTTCCCACAATGTAACATCATGATTGCTTGCTAGAAGCAATGCATGATGGGACTTGTAGTCTTGAGAAATTGATTGTGTCACATCATACAGCTGTGAAAGAGATGCAAAGCACACTGGGAATCCAGGAAGTTGACTGCATTAAGGAAAACAACTATATTATGTGTTCCTATTATAATGCTTATGTTATAATAGGATAGTATATGCTGGGACTTTAAAACTCAGTTAAGGCCTATGCAAGTCCTGTTTATCCCAGTATGGCTTACCAGTTACCATGGCTTCTTTATCTGATTTTCCATGTACACAGAGAAACATACTTAACCAAACATAGGGGCTGATTTATAACACATTCACCCAACATATGGCTGTGTTAACGATGTTTGCAGTGCATTACTGTTACTAGATGGACCCAAAGAGCATAGAAATTCCTATGCTCCTCAGTTCCATCTAGTAGCAATAATGGGCTTATAAATCACTAGCTAAGTGTTATTGTTTATGGAAGAGCTGTATTTCAGCACCTCAAAGCATCAGTGTGATATCAGACTCCTTCTTACAAGTGTCATATGCAAAATAAAGTGGAGGTTAACTTTCTCCGTTGACTGAAAATGTTGTTTTAGATTTGTGTGGGAAGGCAGTGCTGAGTTTATATTGCTCTATGAGATATTTTCCACCACTTACTGTAATGGTGACAATGATTTAACTAGGTTTTGCTCTTGAAGATTTCTCCCTCACTTCATGTCTGGCAAATATAATGTTACCAGGATAGTAAATGAGGAATAATCTCCCCAGCCTGGACAGCAGTGAAATCCGATGGGGTTTATTCCTTTCCCAGTCTATCCAAAGCTAATAAGAAGAATTTTTAGGCTTGGAATAAATTTTCATTTAATATATATCGTGTACAGGAGATGGTACTTAAAATCATTTTAAATTAATCCTAAAATGTTCATGAAACAAAAACAAAAAAAAACAAAGATAATGCCCACTTTCAATTCCATTCCTTTAAAAGATAAATTTCTTCGAGATACAAGTACTTCAAAGCCCAGTATTGCTCAAGATATTGTGCACAAAACTCTATTCACTCGCAGTACATGTAAACCGTTTGGTGTGAAGATGTGTTGGCATATTCATTTTCTTCATGAGATTACAAAGTTAAGTGAGGGTATTATTTCAAGTGACGAAGGTCCCAATGAACTGTTGTTTCTATAACAGGCACAAGCACAGTTTCCCAATATTCTGTTACTAAAAAAAGTCAGAATTCACAAATTCCAACCCATGCTGTATAAAATTGCATTAGTTCCTTCAGTGTTTTTCTTTCTCGCATGTAACAATTATAATCCCAATTAATGTGGCAATGTGCGTCAATAAAGGACGAGCACCTGACCACATTGTTTGTTGTACTGGTGACATTCTGTACTAGTGACATTCCGCTTTCACTACAGCACCCACCTTCTTCGGTTTGGAGTGCGGCAGGATATCCTAAAGACAATTATAATCCCAACACATTGTCTGCACCCTTTTCATTGACATCCTCAGACTTAGGTTATCCATATCTACACTAAATGTGTAAACTAATTTATACCATTGATGGACTACAATCTCAATACAATTTAATAAACTAAACATGAGATTGTAGTCTATCACAGGAACAAGCTTGGAGTGGTGTCTACTGAACAACACACACAGGAACCATGGGGAACAAAAGTAGCCAGTCTCCAGAAGGAAGGACAGTGTCAGCACTAATTCAGAGATGATTTGAGGACAAATTTACAACTGAATCATGTACAAATAAGTTCCTTTTTTTAACAGTTAAGTTAATTGAATGCATTTTTAAGATTTAAGTCCTGAGTTTAGTGTGCCTTTAAGGGCTAGTTCACACCAGCCACAGTGCGTTCTGGATCGATTCTGGCCGGAACGCACTGGATCGCATTGCGGCCAGCTCACTTTGTTGTGGGGCGAGAGGTGGAGGTGCATTGAAGTGAATGGCACCACAGCCACGCCCTCCGGCCGTAATGCAATCAGCCATATGGGAACGCGTGGCACAACAATTCCTGCGTTCTGCTCCAGTCATACAGGCATTGCTGTGCCTTGTGTTCCCGTGCGGCCGATTGCATTGCGGCCAGAGGGAGTGGCTATGCTGCCATTGAGTTCAATGCACCGCCATGCCCCCTCCCGCCCCACAACAAAGTGAGCTGGCCGCAATAGAATCCAGTGCGTTCCAGCCAGAATTGGGCGAGAACGCACTGTGGCTGGTGTGAACTTGCCTTAAAGTATAACAATAATCCCACCACCTTTCTCTCTCCCCAAATACTACATATGCCCCAACACATACCTCAGATTAGCAAATCTACCTCTACCAAACGCTTTGGACTGAACAGTATTTCAATTCTTCTGTGAGCTAGCTGTTGGTACTGTGCCTAAGTGGCTTTCTCTGCCACAGAATGTAAAGGAAAGGCCATCTACCTATCTAACTGGAGGACATGCTGAGCTAAGATCTGTGTTGGGGCATATATAATGAGCAGATTAGGTAAGGGGTTAACCTATGTTTTGGAAAAATTGTTGAGATTTCATTGTCTCCTTCAAAGGTCAATTTGTCACTTTCACAAGATTTTTTCTAAAGAGGGAAATTCTGCTGAAATGCTTAAAATAAAATCTCTCAGGTTGCTAAAAAAAACAAGAAAACAAGTTTGTGTAAATCCAATTTGCTTGTCCACTAAAAAAACTATTTTTTTGTATAAGCATTAGATTTAATCTCCACTTTAAGTAAATAAACATATACTATATCACTGCAACATAAACCATGTTGTAGATTGTGTATGTTAATAAATATTGCCTTTTGATTTTAATCTGTGGCCATCCATGATTTTCCAAAACAGTGAAAACCTGAGGTGTTGTTTTCTTGTGCCCACATTAACCATGTCAATACAGGGGACATTCTGTACACTATATGTGTAAGGCACTTTGTGTAAAGCACTCCCTAGAAGTGTAATTTCCTGTTTATGTCACTCTGACATTGTTTTTCCTAGCTGATTTTCTATCATTAAAACACTGAAAGTAATCATGTGCCTATAGCCGCTAAATCCACCCATTTAGCACTCAAGAGGTAGGAAGTAATGGATATGTTAGTTTCTACAGACCAACAACAGGTAAAGCTGTGATGTGTTTTATAAGCTCTGTAATGTATATAATCAACCTGTAGAGATTTTGTTGCTCCATACAAGTTGCATTACACTTTAAAAGATGAGATAGATAATATCTGAAAGCTTTGTGCCATTTTTGTTAATCCCCTACTCATTTGGATGCAAACTCAATGTTGCATAATTTTGGATTTGCCGAATAGTTGGTCTTCGCTTGGCCAGCATTCGAAGTCACTGCATTTCAAGCTGGATAACACATCTGCTTCTTATATTTTGAGGGTACTTTGATGGCAAGTTGTCTGCACCTGAGGCTCTGCAGCTGCCAAGGCCATTACAAGTGTTAAGAAGAAAGCACTGCCAGCAGTGAGATACCCTTGGTTGTTTGATTAGTAAAGAAAGAAATGAGGACCTAGTTGGCAACTTTGGCAGGAAGATTTTACCAATGGAGGCCTGAGAGTTAAAAGAAGCCAGTAGAAAATTCAAGCCACTGGTGCCTATGAAAAGCTAAAACATCACAATTGTGTTCTTTGCACTTTGTTATTCAAACAGTTCATTTACAGCAATAACATTTTGGTGGAACTGCATATAGAGTTTATTATAGCTCATGGAATATCTTTTTCATTTTCTGCAATCTACAGGCTTCCGGCCCATCACACAGCTTTATTTTTCTGGTATAACAGCATACAGTGTGAACGTCTCATGGACTGACCCCTCTCCTCCAGCTGACCGCTTCATCCTGAGTTATACTCCCATCGGGGGTGATGAGCCAATAGAACTATCACTTGAAGCCTCAGTAAGGCAAACACGTCTCATTGACCTGTTACCCAGCACAGAGTATCTGGTCACCCTCCTGCCCATCCACGGGACACTAAGAGCAGAGCTGGTGGAGGGAACAGTAACTACAGGTGAGGTGGTTTTAAATTGTTTTTAAAGCCAAAACAAAGGTATTATTCATTCACTAAATTCCTTAGATGGTCCACAACGAGTTATCATAGTTTATTCATAAAACCTGCAGATTAAGGAGTTCTATTGTGATTAACTTCACACTTTTTTATAGGGTGTGGGCCCGAAGCAATGATAAAATGAGTGGGGCCATATATATATATATATATACTGTATATACTGTATATGTATATTTGTATATTAACATTTGGATTGCGAACCTTGGAAATGTTTTTATATCACACTTCTGTAATGAGCAGCAGCTAATCATAAAACAGACTACAGTATAATAATATTTTAAGTGCATGTCAGGAGAAGGTTTCCATTCCAGCTTCATAAGTGATATCACACATAAGAAGAGTGTTCAATATTTCTGAAGTACTGAATGCCTGTTGATCATTACATTAAGTTATATTATATCTTTGATCAGTATATGTCCCCCTTTCCCTTTGCAACAGTGTAGGTCTGTCAGATTTGTTTTTAGTATTGCACCTCTCTTTATAGAGTTTATACATGTTTCTTTGAATTTTATGGCTCTATATATTTGTCTAAATCTATCCTAAAATAAGGAGTAAATCTCCTTTTTTTGGATGCTTAATAGAATGAGACTCGTTCCTTTTAACCCACCTCGCCATAACCTACCGGTCTGATTGCACCACTGTGTTGGTCCAAAAGCCCTACTCCATAGAGGCCATCATTTCTATACACTGATGATGATGGCCAACTAGCCTGAAACAGTTACATGCAGCCTGAGGCTTCTCATTGGGGCATAGGGGGGGGGGGGGGGTGCCTGCTGCCCCCCTTTCTGGCCAGAGCTTCCCAGGTTGCTACGAGATCAAAATGTTGTCTTGCACAGGGGCCATTTAGGTGACTCTGTCCTTCACTGGTTGACTTGACTGGTAATGCTATTTGCTTATGCTTGCACAGCTACCAAGGTAACCTCATCTCCATCCGTTATCGGTGGAGTGGACACTTCATTTATATTCCTGAGTGACTAGATTTTATTTTTTACAATGTAGGAGTGGCACCACCCATGGATGTGTCTGTGATAAATGTAACAGAAGACAGAATGACAGTGATTTGGAGACCACCTCCTTCCTCACTCCACCATTATCGACTGTCTTACCAATCTACTAAAGGTAATGCCATGCCTGTGGGTACTTTCTTGATTCATGTCTTGTCATTTATTTTTTTTATCTACATCATAATTCAAGAACCTACTCTAATAGTCATATCCATAGGTCAGGTAAACTACCATTGAGAAAAAGTTATTTCATCAGAGAAAGATATTAAAGTAAATAATGCTAACTTAAATGGTCTTTTGATATTTATTCACTTAATAATGCCCTTAGTTAACTTGATGTATGTATGCTGGCCTGTTTGTATAGTGAAATATATTGCACACTATATTGCACACTATTCACTGCATTAAATAAAATACATATATTATACACACACACACACACGCATATAGTGTGTGTGTGTGTGTGTGTGTGTGTGTATATATATATATATAATTTAATTCTGGAGACATCTTGTAATTTGAATTTTGTAATAAGATGTCTGTAAAAAAACAAAGAGTGCATTTTACCGCACGTCAGCCCATCATTTGAATGTACTGCCCTATGCACAACAAATACGGCACAGAAACTCATGCAGCAATTTGAGCTGTGAGCTTCACACTTTTTTTACAACACATTTTTTGCGCATTTGGCGCGCATTTACAAGCAGTTGTGAACAAGGACTCCAGCAAAAATGTCTTTTTATAATGGAGAATGGCTAGAACCCCTATTACGGTGTTATTGCTGTATCCATGTTGGGAAGCACTTTCCCCACTTCCTGTCCCTATGATTGTCTTGTTGTCACATGGATAAAAAGTGAAGGCCAGGCTCCCTCGCAGTGTCACAGACAGCAATTAAAACCTGACCAAAATTATAACCTTTCCCCACTTGATTCAAAACTAAAGAAAACATTATGGCTGGAGTTAAGAGCAACATGCTTTTAAAGAAAACCTTTTAAAGAAAACCTTTCTGTTTTTGTATAACTTATTTTAGACTCAGTGATGTCATCACTGCGTCTTTGTGCTCTAAGTACTGTATTGGAAAGAGTACATTTTACTCTCCCAATACTTCTACATTAAATGTTGAATTTAAAAACCGGTAATAAGTCTGTATGTTTTGTGGTTTTATTCCCACAGGGAGGATGGATAGTGTGGTGATTGCTAATGATCAGACTCAATATTCACTCACCAATCTACAGCCAACCACTGAATACAGAATAAGCCTAAGCTGCGTGTGGGGCCGTGAGGAAAGCGAGAGAGTCACCATCACTGCACAGACAGGTCGGTGTAAACAAAGACAGCTATTTTTTTTTTTAATATTCCATGATGCATGAGCAACCTCAAACTTTCAACAAATGGCCGACCAAATCCTAAAAAGTGTACTTACTCATTACTTATTACTTGGGGATCTGCCCCATTAAATGGCGGCATGTATCATGTATTGATAGACATATGTTATATATTCTCTAGACAGATTGATCAAGGGTACAGTATAAAATCAGGCAATGGTGATCAATCTTCTTTAGCGGAATGTATAGTGGTTTTATACATCATTTTTCATGGCTAAGTAAATCTCAAATATTTAAAAAACTTTTTAAGACACCAAGTGAAGTGCTAGTTTTCTTTTTGCATGTTTCTGACTCCCGGTTTACATCTTTGAGATAAAGCAGCCATGTTAAACTGGTGTTTTATGAGCTGAATGTGTCCCTTTTGCTCCTTCTCTGCGGCCCTCAATGGTTTAATTAAAAAATAAAATTTAAATGTGCCCACAGCTGCTCTCCAGGAGATAAGTTATGCTTTCTTACATAATTTTACAGCAAAATGCTTTAGGAAATGTCTTATAGACCTCTTTCTCAGGGGAAAAAATATATTAAATTGCAGTTTTACTATGATGTGAAATTCTGAAGTGCCATAATCCTTTTTCTGGAATTAGGAATGTGTGGTCCTCAGTTGACATAATGCTACTCACAGTAGACATATTGCACCCACCATGAAGATTTTGTTCTCTCAATTCAACCCACTGTTATATCTGAGTTTGACATGCCATTTACAAGGCCTGTTACCGTTCTGTTAACAAGTGAATTCATCGAGCAATGACTTATGCCTTATCATAGGAACAAATTTCAGTCAGACAGAAAACAGCCTTAGAAAAGTCACTGTCTACTGTGCTGGCTAACCCATAGTGCTTTGGAAATCCTTTGCCATGTATTCAATACTTATTTGTGAAACAAAGGTTGTATAAAGATAAAAAACAGATTCAACACAACAGTTTAAAAACATAAACATGACACAAAAAAATAACTAGATTAAAACGTACACAAGACTATTTTGATATCCATTTTAATATTATACTTAAGATTGTTTTGCATACTGCTTATTATAGCTAAAGTGCTAATATTGCAGAGTGAAAAACTCAGCAATCCACAAGAACTAATCAAGATTTTTTTTCCATCGTCTGCCCCATGAATGAATATTTCATTACTTGCTGGAGAGTTAAATCATCTTTTGATCCTTATGTTTCTCATGGACTCCATTGGTGAGGTCCCTGTACTTGAGCTCACATCTTCCCATTTATGGCAACTTTTACAAGGAAGTCCCACTTTCCTTTTTGGATTATTTTTGGAAAGAGTGGGATCAAAGTGGGTAAAAACACCCAACACTGCAATATGGACAGGAACCAAGGCCATACCTTTGGCATGGAGATCTCGGCATTGGAGTGTCTTTTATTATGTATGTCTTCCGAAGAATGCGGTTATCCCATTCAGCAGAGTCCAAAGTATACCATGAGAAAGTATACAATGAGAAAACTCTTGTGTTTGCCCACATGACTGCTGAGAATCATAGGTAAACACTTCTTTTACATTGAAAATACTTTTGTTACCTTTGCCCCCCACTGCCAATGAATACTAGACAAAATGTCTTTGTGGCAAGGGCTAGGCCACAGCTAAAACATAACTCTTTTCTGTTTACATTAAATCGTGCCAGTCACGGAAAAACAGTGAGCACCCAAACACCATGACTTTATAACACAATGCAGAAAATCTGTTTTTTCACCATCAGTTCTAGACAGATGTCCAACCATCAAAGCATTTCAGCAAAGTTGACGTGGTAACCGATTAAGCTGGCAAGGTCAAAAACATGCCAACAAAGCTGTGACAAGTTATAAAAGAAAAATAAGGGGAGGGTGGGCAGGGATGTTCAGCTTAGTGGTCAACTCCCAAGTGGCCAGCAAGCCCACTTCCTCCCACTTATAACACTTTACTTGTCTCCGCCTTTGTAAGCTATCCCCCAATTAATAATTGATTACGCCCCCTTTTACAGGAGGGGTCCATTTTATTCATTTTATGAACCACATCCTCACTGCATGATTCCAGCAGTAAAGGCTCCCTCTCCTTACAGGCCACAGGATCTGCCATTCTTAAGGGATTTCAAAGCATGCTATGGAGAGATGGGGTGACATCACCTGCACAGCCGCAAGGATTTTTTCCTCCCTACAATGCTGTATTTTATATCAATGTTTGTGCATATTTTTTAAATCAGGTAGAGCCAGGCCAATTTCAGTATTTTCATGGAAGGTCTACTTTAAGGTTACATTTGTGTGTGAGTTTGCTTTAAATGTTGTGTAATATTTCTTAACAATATCTGTAGTTTACTTACAGATCGTCCTTGTTGCCTGGGGCTGCTTTTACCATTAATATGAAACAATCAGATTCTGTTGTGCATCCTTTATGTTAGCCTTAGTTATATATTTTGGCATTTCAGACAGTGTATTCTGCTGATCTGGTTTTAATTTATTTTCTTTCTTTTTTTTTTATCCGTCCTTATAGATCTGGCCCTGAGGTGACTTTGGTGACTGCATATTGCTGCATTCACACATTGCTGTGTCTTACAACCTGTCATTCATCGTCACACTTGTCATTTTTGTTTTTTTTTCCTTGTTACAGCCTTGGATCCTCCGCTTGGCCTGAGGGCCAGTAACATCAGTGACTCGGGAGCTGTTTTGCTGTGGGAGCCACCAAGGGCAGACATTGAGAGTTATATAATCACACTGACACACCACACAGGTCAGTAAAGATCACACATAAACCACATATTTACACACAGCGGTTATATAGAAAACTATGTATGTTAGTCCTAAGGAACAGAAGAGGCAATATACAGACACATGAATGAGCTGCTACTGCCTGTGTGCTCGTATATCAACATTAACGTCTGCACAGTAAATAATGACTAAAAAAGTATTGCAAAGCTACACCTTAAAGGAGAACTCCAGCAAAAATGTTTCTTACCCTTTGCATTGGGGCTATCCTTGCAATGCAAGGATTGCAAAAACAATGCAAAGTGCTTGTTTTTGTCTAGGTGCTAAAAAAAGGTTATACTCACCCGATCCTCTATTCATCCCTGGAGCCTTGATCCCCCTCCGCTGCAGCAGTCTAAGCATCCTTGAGTCATCACATTCTATACACAGTGTATAGGAAATGAGGATCCTGTGGGACATACCATCGCTTCAGCAGCAGGGGGAGGCAGGCTTCAGGGACTGGAATAGCAGACCGATGGCTCTGCAGTTCAGGCAAGTACAGTGTAACTTTGTTTTAGCAACTAGGCAAAATGGAGCACTGAACCCTTGCAATGCGAGTGTAGCCCCATTGCAAGGGTTAGGAACATTTTTTCCCAGAGTTCTGATTTAAAGAAGAGCTTCAGTATGTACTGCTGATACCTAAAAATGTCCAATAATGGTGTGGAGGCTGCAGTGTCCCTCAAGTGTTCTGACATTTCCTCCACACCTTATTTTTTGCCATTCTTTGTTTTCAATGGGGCCGAAGCAAGCAAAGCAGTCACAACATTTTTAATGCATAGTGCTATGCTATAAATGTATTTTTGTATGTTTTAAAGCAGTGGTATTGCCGTGGTATTTATAACTGGACCCTATAGCTCCTACTGTAAGGAAAGTATTCATTAGTATTAAAGCCTATCTCCAGTAAAAAAATAAAAAAAAACTACCCTTGCAGTGGGTCTACCTGCTCCTTTTATCTAGGGGGATTCTGTAAAACACTTTTACTTACCTGATCCCCGCTCCCGCTAGCTCCAAGACTGGCACCTGCAGCCTCTTACCCCCTGCACTCTGGTGGTCATAGGCCTGCTGATATAATGACATACAATGCAGAGCCCATAGCCCTGCATTATACATGAGGGCACCGAGGAACAATCCATGAGCCGGAGCAAAGGGGAATTGAGGACCATCATGGGAGAGGGCATCAGGTAGGATAAAGTGCTTTACAGTATCCCCTAGACATAAACCAACAGTGCCAAAGTAAGCCCCCTGAAGGGTATTTTTTTTCTTAATCGGAGATAGGCTTTAAAGGAAACCATATGTTCTAAGAGACATATGGAGGCTACCGTACATGACTTCTTTCTGAAAATGCTAGTTGACTATATCTGGTTTTCTGAATCACCGAATTACCGACCCAAGACAAGTATGCAGCAAGTTACACTAATGTTAAAACTCCTGACTTGCATACTGGTTTCAGGTCATTGTATGAAACCATTAGCTCAACATGATAGCCGGGCAACAAGAGATTTCAGAAGGAGAGGTCACAAATGGCAGCCTACAGTTACTACATGATTAAGGGATCATAACATTTTGTAAGAGCATGTGTGCTGTATCTGGTGACCTCAACAGTTCCATATTCTAAAGGTGCCCATACACTGCTCGATTCTCGTACGAGAATCGCGGGAAATCCCGCGATCGTACGAGAATCGAGCAGTGTGAACGGAGACGTGCGACCGTTTCTACTGTACGGTCGCACGTCTTCTGTCGAACCAGCATGTTCGAAAACCAGCCGGGAATCGTAAGATTCTCGGCTGGTTAGAACGGTGCTCGGAAGCCAAAGGCCGAGCGGGCCGGTGTGCGCACGCGCACACTGCCCGTTCAGGATTGCGGTCATCGGAAGCCCGCCCCTCAGGGGGGCGGGCTTGCGATGATCGAGAGTGCGATCTGCCTGTCCAAGATAGGCAGATCGTACGTTTTTTTAATCCCTGTACAACCATCGCAAGACTAAGGTCTTGCGATGGTTGTAGAGTGTATGGCCACCTTAAGACATTATCCAAACATGGTGCAGCTTCAAATCAGGTGACATGAATTGCAGCTGAAAATGTTTAGTCCCAAGTCCATGAAATCGCAGCTAGCTAAACATTAAAAAAGCTTGTAAGGGCAAGACAGACATCAGCTAATTCACTGCTACTTCACTCATATGTTAAGCTTTTTTTTTTTTACATGATACACTTTTAAAAATGCTGCATAAAGTACAATTTTTTCCGTAGTATTTGGTGCATTCTAATCTGACGTTGCTCCTTCTAAAGATTTTATTTCTCTGAAGTACCTTTTACAATATTAACAACTACCTGGGTTGATCCCAGGGCCAGGATAGTCTTCACATCCTCGGCAATGCCATCCTTGTTTCTGGTTTAGTCCATGTGTCAGCAGATGCCATAGAGAATAATGGCCATCTCTATCATTAGCCAGGTGCCAGACATGACCGTTATTCTCACTGGTGTCTCCTGCTGCATGTGTTGGATTGCAAAGCAGGATGGCCAAGTGCCAATGATGCAAACACTATGCCAGCCCTAAGCAGGCTATGTACAGCATAAGGGTATGTAAACAGCCATTCCCACCCATTTCCAGTGTTTATATAATATGCATAGTATTGCATAACTGAATAAAACCACTTGTTTGCATATGAATATTTAATATTTACATTTCCAGACAGCAGATGGAAGTTTTGGGACATTTTCACAAGTTAACTGGTCTTAACCTAATCTTAACAGCTTTGCTGAATGAAGCCTGTTGTTTACAAATCATAATAACTCAAGCATGGATTTACACACAAAACTGAATGATTCAGAGCAGTCACTCATACCCCCTCTTTCCACTCCCTGCCTGCTTTGCTCATATTAGGTAGTAGGGAATTTGAGTCCGAGAGACAGAGTCGCAAATCAAACAGCAACTGCTGTGCTTTCATTTTATAAAACACATATTGTTGGTGGCACCACTCTATAACAAATGGTTATTTGTAAAACAAAGATTTTGTATGACTAGCAACAACACATAAAATATAAGTTTAAGCAATGGAAACGATGTAAAGCTTAACTCCAGCTTTGCCGTCAGTCTTGCATAGTCATAAAGGCTCCTCTCCTGTACTGAAAATGCTTATTCTGATTTCACTGCAAACTATGAGCTTCTCACAATGTGCATTTGAAGCTGCAGCAAGTCAGATAGAGGTCACCACATTCTCTTGCTGGAGGAGTTTCTGTTCAGCATTAGTGTCCCTGGCCTGCCCTGCTCATTCACTGGATTTCAGTTATTTCACTCATGGAGCCTTAGCATCACATGTGAATGTTACCTAGGGCAATCAGCATACAAGTACAGTCTGTCTAGGAATGTCCACTCCTCTGGACTGACACCCATTCATGAAGGCATTTTCATATTTGCAAAAATCCTCCCAGGAACCAGCCCACTGCTTGCATCAGGGCTGAGGGCTCTGGAGAGGAGTACAGTGGCAGTGTAGTGATGTGTCCAGGAAGCTACAGCATGGACCCTCCCACCAGCCATGGTACCTGAGTTGCATACAGAAGCAGAGACCTAGTAATGATGTCACTGGGTCTAAAATACGGTATGGGTTATTAAAATGGAAAGGTTTTATTCAAAAATGTAATTGGCATATTGATAAGGGGGTAAAGGAAAACATATGGAATTAAAAATTCCACTTCATCTATCAATGGTGAGCACATAAAAAGTTGTATATGTTTAAAAAAAAACATCCATCATTAGGGTGAAATCTGATGTCTTTCTTGGATTAATTATCAGCATATCGTTTTCACTAAAATACACAAACCTATGACTTGTAGTTAAAGCCTACGGATTGAATTATTTTGCATACGGTAATGTTTCCATTCATTCTCTAGTAATATCTTGCTTTATAAATAGACAGGAGTTCTTTAAATACAGAATGCCTGCATTTGTGCTTTCTCTTCCTCATCAGTTTCAGGAGAGACAATTCTCATTGATGGGGACAGCCAGGAGTTTCAGCTGCAGAACCTTCTCCCTCATACCCATTACTCAGTCTCCTTGTCAGCCAGCAGCGGGCCTCAAGCCAGCCGGAGCTCTGGTGTCAGCTTTACCACATGTAGGTACAAATCATGGCTTGAGCCAGGGCGCTCGTATTAAACTGTATTAAATGAAACTGAAAGGTACTGTTCATATTTCATTTGATAATTGATGCACACTTTCCATTCACCTGTCTTTTAACAGCGCGGAGTGTAATGCGAACATTTTGCATGCTGCCTTGGCAAGACTGTGCATCCCAATATTTCTCTCTCAGCATGATTTGTTCTTATTTTCCTTTTCTTTCTATTTTCTTGTAATTGTATATGAAAAAACTAATGCCAATCCACTGAGAAAAAGAATGCTAAAAAACATAAACTCCACTCTAATAGTATAGCCAAAAGACATTGGTATCACCTCAGCCTCAGGGATTCTAGATCAGTGTATCTTATACTTTTTGAAAAACATAAAAAATAAAAATAAATATGAAACATCTAAAGGCATCCCAGTCTAAAAAGGGATCCCCCATTCACATCAGAAGCCCCTCTTCCTATCAGAAGCCCCCTCTTTCACATGATAGTCTGCCATTCACATCAGGAGCACCTCTTCACACAGGGAACCCCCTTCACATCAAACCCCGCCTTCACATCAAACCCCCCTTTACATCAGAGCCCCCCTTCACATCAGAGTCCCCCTTCACATCAGAGTCCCCTCTGCACATCAGGAACCCCCCGTCACATCAGAGTCCATCATTCAAATCAGGAGCATCCCTACACATCAGGTGCACCCATACATCAGGTGCACCCCTTTACATCTGGAACCCCCTCTTCACATCAAAGTGTCCCCTTCACATCAAAGTGTCCCCTTCACATCAAAGTCTCCCCTTCACATCAGAGTCTCCTCTTATACACATGGCAGAGGACAGGAAGTGGAGCAGGTCAGGAGAGAGGCAGACTCCAGCTACGGAGTTCCCTCCATTCTCTTCTGAATGCTAGGTCGGCCCTGAATGCCGCTGACCCTGGTTTAGGGCCATGCATTTGCAGCTGGCCTGCCAATGAAAAAGTATGGGAAACAGTGTGGGAAAATACAGGCCCCAACCCATGTTGAATCAGTATGGGATGCAGCATGTTTATTTGATGGCAGAACGCAGAGGGTATCCCAGTTGACAAAGGCTGTTCTAGATTCTAAACACAGGACCTCTGGTATTCAACAGACTCCCATCTCCACTTCAAAATAGACAGCTCAGCAAGGGAATTCAAAGCCACTTTTTTAGTTTTGGATAAAGTAGGAAAGGGTTTATTGCAGTCTGTGTCCACCTTAGGCAGAATAGCCCCCTCTGTTTGCCCTAGGGGGGGGGGGCAACTTTTTACAGTTGTTGCAGACAGGTGAGGGAAATCCTTCCATTGGATACACCTATCCTAATGACAGTTGTCACTTTGGAAAACTCGCTAAAGAAAAAATCTTTCACCATACAGAGTCCACCGCTGACAAACTTCTACTCCATTCCCTATGCTCTCCCCCACCCCATTCCCCTGGGAGTCAAACCCTCTTCCACCTCTGTGTTGGAACATTTTGGAAACACAAGTTGGTGACATCATCCTCCTCTTGCACTGAATCCTGGGAGGAGATAACATGCTCCCCAATACCTGGAAACACTGTTTCCTTTTTTTGTGTCAGCTCCAACAGAGCAAAGTGAAAGAATGATAAAGGTGAGTTTAATTGGGTGGGGGTGAGCTACATTTTTTATTGAAGATTGTCATTCTTCTGATACAGATAACACGACAAATGTGTAAGTATAATAGTATAAGCATGACATGTCGTACATAAACATGTGACATTATAATGCAGACTCGTCATCCGGAGCCATGGGTGACCTTGGTATAACAATAACCACTTACATGCCTATGCTGTCGATAATGCATTATCACATAACGAACATGAGACTGAACCTTTTAAAAACAGAACTGAAACTTAAAGTAGAAATTAAACTCTCAAACTTTTGTTCAATAATAAATCCAGATCAAACAAATAGACATTGCCCAGCCAAGTATTTCTTTACATTTTCATGGTTTCAAACAGCTCCAATTCTCTCAGCTCAGCTTCCCTGAACTTCCTGTACCATACGAGATCAAAAGGGACAGCAGCTGTCCATCCACTAGCTTAGATAAGAAAGGTGGGGAAAGACAGAGGAGCGGGAAGCAGGGGAGTGGCTTGCCTTACTTTGACTCTGTGTTTGCGGAGTTACACACAGCTTACCAGTACACACAAGGGTGGCTCCATAGTACCCTGCAAGAGAAAGGAGCCACCATTACACAGGATATCAGAGTTAGTACTCAGGAGACCAGCTGATTCTGCAGTAAACTAAAACGTTTAAACATCAAGGAGCAGCATCCATTTTAAGTAGGGATGTTCAGATACCAAGTACTGTACTCGGTACAAGTACATGCACAGATACTTTTCTAGCTCCAAGACTAGACTAGAGAAAAATTCAAAAGTTAGGAGGCAGCTGTCATTTGTAAGGAGCATACGGAGGTCCTAGGATTTGTACATCTCTGGTTTAATGAATGATTTTTTTACTATAAATATATATATATAAGGGATGCACTGATACTTGTCTAAGTACTCACAGGTACAAGTACTGATACATTTTTGTTTATTGCCATGTGACAGTTTTTCTAAAACAATACAGACTAATGATTTTAGGACAGTGGTGGAGCGCCAGAGCCAGGTCCCAGCATTTGAAACAGCTTAAAAACATGTTTTACTTTAAAATCACTTTAAAATAAAAGAACTAGAGGGCGACATTGAAGCCATCGAGGAAAAAGGGCAGCACTGGTTCAAGTGCCAACTTCCAATACCACCAGAGAATCTGTCAGTTGTGCTCTCGCATACCAGTCAGTATATTACCAATTGTTTTGACACACGCTTCGTACTGAAAGTAACCTTTGCTCCTATACAGTATTTCTTATTATGTGTTCAGTTTGAATGGCCTAGGTTTGTGACAGGTTTGCTTTAAACTGAGACTGCCATTAGAAAAAAATGTTTTTGTAACAGTATCGGAGCTAACTCACGCTTTTATCAATCTGCATCTGCTTTTCCGATTCTCCACAGGTACTTTTTTTATTATTAAAACCATAGCCGTTGTATAGATTGCAGTATTTCTAAACATCCAGTGCATTCCCGAGCTGAGCATACTCTTATTGTCTCATTTAGAACAATACGTTCTCAGATATATCATGATGCTGGTGCGCGAATGACCTATTAAATTATGAATAGGACTTCAGACTCAATTTGCTCGGTGACTGGTAGCCAGTGATGTTCTTTAGGGTGCAGTGATCAAATCAGTGATAGATCCTTGGCTAGGTAAATTGAATTTATTCTGCACCAAAAATATGCAAATTGCATCCATTCTGCAGCATATTTGTGTTATGATAAAGGGAAAAAGAAATCTTTCTTGATTTATTACTGGTATTGATACTTTTGGAATCTAAGGCAGAATGTTAGGGAATTTATATACAGCACAATAGATCACCTGGATAATGAAGGCTGACAGTTTCAAAGCGTAATTTATATAAAAAACAAATGTTACAACTGAGAAGAAAACAAGCAATTTAAGAGGGTAACGTGTAAGTAAACTCTAATAAGGAACTTCTCTAACTTGCTTCTTTTTGTTTTGTAAACTTTACCCTTGAAAACTTTTTTGTTATATGTGTTCAATAAGTACAAATGCCTGTTGATCCTGCCAGAAATACAGTACGTTTGTAAGTTCCTCTAAACTACAGAACACTCCTTTGTGTTATGGAGATGAGGAGAGGGGGAGGTGTTTTTTAGTCTTAGCACACTTCTTGTCCTACGTTGACAATGCTACTCTTCCATAGATACAGTACCGTGACTGAGTGATGTCAACCTAGGACAGGAATTGTGTCACTGGCAGGATCACCAGGTGAAAATAAAGGGAAAAGGTCTGAAAAAAGTAACCACATCTGGACTGGCAAGCTTAATTTCTTGTTGGGTTTCGATGCACTTTAAGCCCACCTAAAATTGGTGTTTCTGTTCTTGTGTTGAAGATGACTAGACAGGGTGAGAAATTGTCAGACAATACTAAAAAAAATCAGCCTTGTCTAGCATGCAACAACTAGCAGATCAACTTATAGAGATATTTTGGTTTGGAAAGCTTTGCCTGATTTTTGTTTTTCTCTTTTGAATTCATCATAAAAGGTGTGATTTCCTCAATATGGTTGCGGCAGGTGGACTGGCCTGAGAAGCCAGATAAAAAGGCTGCATTTTCATAGTACAAAGGGTGAAATGATCTAGAGAAGATCAGATCAAAGACAGTTAAATGAGGGTCGGAATGCCTACTGTAGTACAAAAATATCAATTTTATTTAGTATTATTTAAAATATGGGTCATGAACACAGACTAACAGACCACCACCAGAAACCCAATTAAAATTGGTTAACAACCAATAACACACTTGCTACAAACAGACATTCACGGACCAGCTGGTAAAAGTAAACATATAGACCGGCGTTGCTCTAAAAAGGTGTGCTGACAGTGCTGAAAATAATATATAGCAAGTACCCCAGTTATGGAGACAATGTATCAATGAAAATTGGATTGGCTGCTAAAGTTAATAGACCCCCTCCAAGGGTCCAGAATACTGTGTCTGTCACCCCCAATGGCGGTTAATCTAAATTGGGTCTGGTCTCTGGTTATAATTGTATTTTTCTTACATTTTCATAGTGCCTAAAAGTTATAAGAGTCAGGGAGTGATTCAGCCAACAAAGATCCATTTTGAGGCTAGGTTCACACCCAGGCGATTGAGCTTTTTGTTTGCACGATTTTGCTGAAAATAGCTCCTGTACCTTTTTGCGCGACAGGCAATTTCTACCACGTGACAAATCGCAAAGGTGTGAACAGCCTCCATAGACTTGAATGCAAATCTCTGTTTTGTGAGAAAAATCGCCTAGATGTGAACCTAGCCTTAGGGCCGGTGCACACCTGGGCAATCCGTGACCACGTGGCAATCGTGCACAATACCGTGTGGACTCCCAAAGGGTAGCAGAGTCGCCCATCACAACG